GCAGGGAGCCCGACGTGGGACTCGATCCCGGGACTCCGGGATCATGACCTGAGCCGAAGGCAGTCGCTTAACCAACTGAGCCACCCAGGCACCCATCCCTCTGGCTTTCTTCACCGTACCTGCACGTGTCTCTGTTTCAGCAGTGTTTCGTAGCGGTTGGACGGTGGATACGGAATGATGACTCCATAATTCTTACATTCGGCCCTAAAACGTTTATCCAACAGGACACTGCAAGGAATAAAAGTTACATAAGGCCAGTAAACATAACTGGGGATGGTTTTCAAATACCCAGCCCCATCTATTTCAGACCAGAGGATCTACTGAGTTTGTATATATAGCATATTTGAAATGAGAATCATCTTAGAGACACTGGAAGCCCAGCTCACTGTTAAAACGGCATCCTATTCAACCCAGATATTTGCTAAGTGACTACTTTGTGGAAGGCTGTGTAATCTGCGTTTTCCCTGAAAGTACATGCTTTGTACTTTCTAAATCATCAAGAGCCATTCACTTCATTTAATGTGCATTCTGTGTTAACAGAGACTGGTGTGTTCTGATGTCACCTCCTACTTGAAATCTGTCAGAGCAATTCTAGCTGTCAAAGCAAAATGAAGGAAATTCTCTGCATGGAAAGAAAAGTAATTTATGACAGTTAAGTAACTATTCTTGACATTATTGGTTTGTACATTTGGATTTCCAATAAGAAGACAGATACCTATTTTGAGGTTTGTCTTGACCAGCACTGTTATGGGTTCTTGAAACCCAGGAATTCACTCAATCAACACATCCTGGCACTGCCAACGAGCCTCCAACACTTGACAAGTGTCTTACCCCAGCTTCTTCACTGGTGTCCTGTCTGGCCTGTATATACCTGTTCTTGCTCCCCACCAATCCATTGTCCACATTTTTGTTTTCAATAAGGGCAAATTTTTAAAAACAAAAATTGAATCCAGTCCCTGTCATACTTTTGAAATCATCCCATGGTATTCGATTCCTCCTAGGGAAATCCTACAAGCCCCATCACCTGAGCCCTGCCTACCTCTCCAGCTTTATTGTGCAACTTGTCTCCTCTTGTGGTCTGTGGACAAGGCACTTACATGCACTAATTCACATTAATGGTCTCAACTGTCCAATGGAGGAGGCATGCTGTCAGTACAATACTTCTGCCCCAGGGACTTTGCACAAGCAGTTCCTTTGACTGCAATTTCCTGACCCATCCTTCACTTAGTTTTATTCAATGCCTATCAACCTCAGATAAGAACTCAAATGTTAGTTTCTCAGGACAGCCTTTCCAGTTCCTCACTCCAAAGACTAGTGCAGGTTTAACTGTCATAGATTTCCATACTCCCATGAACGTTTCCTTCACGGGGAGCACTCAACCTCCCTTGCCACTGTGCTCTGATCCGTTTGTATTAACGTCTGATATCCCTCCTAGACTGTAAGCTCCATGAGGGACAGCACCAAACCTGCCTATTTTCCTTTCTCCTATATTTTAGCACCCAGTCCAGGCCCACGGAATCGCTCAGATTTCCTTAGGGGCTAAAGAAGAGAGGTTTTACGACAGGAAACCATGTCTCACAGGTGGCAGGCTACGAACGTTTGTTGCTCACAGCCCCGGGACCCTCGTACCTGCCAGCCATGGCTTTGTAGTAGGCAAAGATCTGGTCCGCCAGCTTGTAGACAAACTGATCAAAGCACAGGTTCACCTGGGGACACGGAAGGAGGAACGTCAGCGGTGCATGTCTAGCTTTAGCAAAGAAAGCGCACGCAGCTGCAAGGGGTCAGCTGGGCAGTATTGTGTGCTGTGGGGCAAGATACTTTGAGTAGCAAAAAAAGCAGATCCTGTGGTTAAGTAAGTTAAGAAGTTTGGTCCCTCACTCTCAAGGCCCTTAGTTAGGCACAGAGAAGGCCAAGTTCAAAAAGCTGTTGAGGAACAGCCCTCCCCGTATGTCCCATCCTTGCTGTTCCAAGGTGGCCCGCCCAGGGGAAAGGTGATAGCTTTTCATATCTTGCAATTGCTCACATCATTCCACCCATCCTCTTTCCTGTTAGACTTTCTCATCTTTTCCTTTCACTTTATTTGCCCTTGCTTGACAAATGAAGAAGTTGATGGTGCTTGGAAACTGAAAAATCTTTTTTTTTCAAACTTAGCTTAGAAACCTCTGGTTCTTAATGAATATGGGATCATCTTGCCATTTCAGGGTCTCATCACATCGGTGGCAGACCATGAGGCTTAGGTGAGAAGTTCATGTCAGACACAGGATCAAAACCAAACCGTCCACCGAGGGCAAGAAACAGCCAAGGGTGGGGCTTTAATGAGCTGGGGATGTAGTAGTGGCAGGGCGCCATGGGACTTCAAAGGGAACAGAGCATATTTAGGTGACTGATCTCCCATGCTTCCCTCACCAAATTCGCAGCTCCGTAAGGTTAATTCTTTATCTGAAGAGCTCCCGTATCTTTGATTTTACACCCCAAATGTTATTCTGAACATCCAACACAGAGCTATGTGCAGTTCTGCCCTCATCTGCAGGTGACCAAGCCTCTGCTCTGGAATTCATGCTTCAAGGGGCCCCACTGGACCTTCCTCCAGTTGAAGAACCTGCAGAGTCAAGCTGGGGGTGCCCACTAGTCATACCCTAAGCTCCCCTTCTAGAACCAGCCTTGAGTATCCTTGCCCCAAAAGCCCAAGCCCCTTCCAGGCCTGTCTGGTATTTTCCCTGGGATCATCCCTGAGGGTGGACTGCACAGCAGGTGTGTGTACCCCTAGGGTTGAGGTTTAGCTAAGGGGCCACTGTTTGTGGGCAGCGGTGGCAGATGCAGCTTGGGTGTCCACACACATACACACGAGGCCCTTCATCGTGCAGAACAGAGTTGGGCGATGGGAAGAGAAAAGGGGCAGGTCACAACTTGGGGGTCTCAATGTATACTTTGTCCCCATGCCCTCAAATGTTACCCAGGGCCTGGCTGTGTGCTTTCTTTCCATTTATTTTAAAAATCTCACTTGGCCACATGACACTCTAGATTTGTTTTGTTTTCAACCTGTTGGAGAACACAAGTATATAAGATCTTGTCAGAACATGGAGTTGTCAAAAGCTGAGATGCAACCAGTTCACTTGTCTCCTAGAATCTCTCTTCCCAAGTCTGTGCTCAGGAGAAGAGATCTGTGTTGGGGTCCATCAAGGTCTTCAAATCCCATAGAAATTGGAGGGTAGAGAAAGCAAGCAGCATCTCTACTAGCTTTTCTTGCTAATCCTAAAATAGTCATGTTTTTCCTTTATAAATAAGAATGTTTTATATTTCTATGATATTTTTACCTAATTGGCCTCAGTCTGTGTTTATAGACCCCATGCAATTAAGCAGAACCCAGACTATCATTCCAGATCCCAGAAGGCAAAACTGAGAAATTGCGGTAGCCACCACTCCCATTGGCCTCGTGCAGGTGACAGGATTGTACTTCCTTGCTCCTCTCTGAAAAGGAGGTGCAGGCACATGACTCGCTTTGACCAATGACACGTGTCATTTCCAGGTGGAAGCTTTAAGTACCAGTAACACCTCCCCCTGCCATGGCAATTAGTGAATGTTCCACGTGGGTCCCAAATTGAAGACTACATGGACCAGAGCCCCCAACCAACCCATAAGGCAGAAATAAACCTTTCATTTTTAAGGTACTAAAAATTTGTGATTATTTGTTACTGCAGCATAACCTAGCTTGTCCTGACCATTACAGAAATAAAGCCATTGAGTGACTAATAAATAGCTTCATAGTTGAAAGGAGGGTTACTTTAGTCCTACCGGTACTAGCAAGTGACACTGGAAGCTGTGTGACATTGGAGTAACAATAACTGACCACTTCAAGTCTAAGATTTATTATCTGTAAAACAGATAGTAGCATATACCTCTTTAAATTGCTGTAAAGGTTATTTAAAAAGTCGTTCTCTCTCCAGTGCTTAGCACTGCGCCTGGCAACTTGTAAATATATAATAACTGATACATGATATTGCTGTTATTATTATTAGCCAAATAATCCAACCATAAAAGAACCATTAGAAAATTAATTTTACCCCTGCAGTTCTATCATCGGCCATCCCTTAATACATTTGAAAAAGAAAGACCATCGTCTCAGTCTGGGTCATTTTTGATGATCATGATTTGTAAAGATCACTCTCCATATAGGGAATGATATTATAAGAGCACTGTAGGGGGGCAGGTGGGAGCTACACCTGTGGGGAGCAGAGCATGACATATAGAGTTGCAGAATCACTGTGCTATACACAGACTAATGGAACACTGGGTGTCAATTATACTACAATCTTAAAAAAAGTCATAAAAAGAGATCACTCTCCAGAACAAGTCATGGATCCTGCATTGCTATGGTCTGAATGTTTTGTGTTGCTCCAAAATTCATATGTTGAGATCCTAATCCCCAAAAGCGATGGTATTAGACAGTGGGGCCTTTGGGAAGTGATTAGGTCATGAGGGTAGAGCCTTCATGAATAGGATTAGCGCTTTATAAGAGAGAGACAGGGGGCACCTGGGCGGCTCAGTCGGTTAAGTGTCCGAGAGATGGAGTGTCGTGAGATCGAGCCCCAAGCTGTGCTCCGTGCTCAGTGTGGAGTCAGCTTGAGAGTCTCCCCTTTTCCCTCTGCCCCTCCTCCACTGTGTGCATGCGTGCTCACTCTCTCTCTCTAAAATAAATAAATAAAATTAAAAAAAAAAAAAAAAAGAGAGAGAGACCGCAGAGAGCTCCCTCATGCCTTACACTACTCAAGGATACAATGAGAAGTCTGTGACCCAGAAAAGTGCCCTCACCCAACAGTGCTGGCTCCCTGATCTAGACTTCCAACCTCCACAACAGTGAGAAATACATTTCTGCTGTTTATAAGCCACTCAGTCTGTGGTTATTTGGTACAGCAGCCTGAATGGACTAAGACAGCCCACTTTGGGCCAAGAGCTAAAGATTTAAAAAGTCCAGACTCAAAAGACATTTGCTTAAATTATGAACAAGTTTTACAAATTCCTTGAAGTTTTCTAAGATCACCAACTAGCAGCTTTCTTACTCGGTGAAAAAGATGCTTTGATATTTTATTTACACTTGTAGGATTGTTACATTAACCAGAAAATTAGTGGAAAAACCCCTGAGAAAAGACACTAAAGTTTGTGTCAACTGAGGAAGTCTGTTTGGTTTGCATTTTGTTTTTGTGCATTTTATTGCTGTGAGTGGGGGCATGACTTGACAGTTTGTGCTAAAATATAACAATAAGCCAGGTGTAGCCACACTTTTTTTTTCATAGTCCTACCAAATGAAAACAACAAACTGTTTTAAGCATTTAATTCCCCCACTCATAAATCTGAAAGTGACAATTAAAATCTCAACTGTAACCAGCTTAGCTTTTTCCTTACTTGAAAATAAATATTCTAATTACCTTTAAAAAAATAAAAAATAAAAAGTCCAGACTCTCGGAATAAGATTACAGGAACAAAAGGAGAAGGGTGTCACTTGCCTCGGCTTCAATCTCATCGTACAGGAACTGCTTTTTAAACTTGGTCAGAGCATAGTAGGCGCTGTCATTGTACAGGTCCAAGGGGTAGAGGACGTACCTGAAGAGAGAAAAGTAGAGGCCAGCAGCTTACTCATCTCTCTGAAGGCAAGCTGACTGATGCGGCTTGGGAAACACGAAGGCTTGGGTGAACATGTGAACAAGCTCGGGGTTGGGAAGAGAGAGCCTTCCAGCACTCTGATGTTTCCAGCCTGCCTTAGGAATGCCTTACTTTATGCTCTGCCTGTAGAAATCAAAAGTCCGTGATGCTAATAACTCCAAGACCTGAAAAAATGAGTCTGGGACCAAAAGAAATCAGGTGGCCGTTAAGGACATTAGCTTCCTGGTCCCCAGAGATGACTATCTTCCAAGCACGGCTGCTCTGAGACTGACAGAGCACAGGGAGGGCAGCTGGGCTGGTAGAATCCCGGGCCTATCTGCAAGGCTGAGTCAAATCTGGTGTGACTTGATCCCTGGCACAAGTGTTCTCTCTAGTGGGGCCTGCTGCCTAATCTGGAAAGTTCTGGAAAGAACAGAGCTCCTTAGCAAACTATCCTCCATCTGCACCCTGGGGACCTCCTTGCTGACCCAATCCTGCCTCTTACTCCATCATGGAAGGTTCTTTGGTTTCCAGGATATGGTCTGTTAGAATCCAGGGCATGGACATCTCAATTGGGAACTGGATTCGCCGGCCCATGGTTAACTCCAGGAAGAATTCTCGGAACCAGAGCTGAGAGAGGTCACAACACTGCTGCAGGGCTTCTGAAAGCATATAGGAAAGAGTTGTGGGTTATACACGAGAAGCACCAAAAGATCTTTGCTCTTATTGTTATTAACTTGGTTCTTACTGCTTTCGTTATTCTTACCACTATACTAGTATACAGTAGGTACTCATAAATGCGACTTGATCAGTAGATCCTGCTGTCTTGTACCTGACAGCCAGTCTAACATCTATTTAGAAAACAGCATTTGTTAACCTCACAGTAGCAGGCCCGGGGGGGGAGGACAGCAGTGATGTTTTAGAGCTTTAGGTGCCCCCACAATCTCCATCATCCCCCTACAAAGCCATCCTGAAGATCCACAGTCGGGCCTCCTTGTACACGGTAATTCTGGCTTCTCCCTGCTCAGAAGCCTTGAAGGGCCCTGATCTGCGCTCTGATGAAGTTTGGATTGTTTGTTAAGGTCACCCTTCTCAGTACCAACAGGTGCTTTACCACTCCCACGTCCCTGGATGCTGCTCTCCTTCCCCCTGCCCTGTTCCCCCGGCACAGTCATCCTGCTAACGGGAGCACAGGAATGGGGGACACAGGGTTGGGGTACAGCCTGGAAGCCTCCTTTGCTATGAGCAACAAGACTAATCAGCTCAGAGCTGCTGCTTAGAAACAAAAGGCTGACCGAATGCCTGGCTGTGTCTGTGGGTATGTTGCTGGTTTTAAAAAAGTCTTTAGTAGAGGGTACTAAAGACTTCATGACAAATAAACCACAAATGTCTACCAGACAAAGTTAGTGGAGTGAGACTAGCTGGACCGAGCCTGGCCTTTCCAAGCCCACCAGAAAGTGTGCATTTTTTACCTCGGTGGCAAAATGTGCCTCTTTTGGTCAATGACCATGCTTTTTGGCAACTTTTGGTCCAGTGGCTTTAGTCAGTCTGGGACCTGGGACCCTAATCCTCTCCCCACTACCTGGACACTGCAACTCACCACTGATATTGAGCAGGTGAGTGAAGAAGAAGGACTGTTTGTGGAAGTCCTCTATGGCAAGGACGATGGGTCCATCGAGGCTGCTTCTCAGTGTCTTCTTAGAGCCGCTTTTGTCTGCGATGAGTGATTCCAGCATGGTCCGCACCATGTACAGCTTGAAAGAGAAAGTAAGATGAGAAGGTCAGGGGCTGGCCCTCCACCCTGGGGTAAAGGTTTCTCTGTGTTGTATTTATATTTTTCTTTTTTTCTGCAGATGTCTGCTCTTAAAAAGCACTGTCTTAAGGAAGTACCAGTTTAGGGTTGGAGAAGTGAATTTGGAACATGTAAACCCTCACGAGGGAGACTGGTCAGCCCAGGAAGGAAGTTCTGCCCAGGGCCTGATAACAAGTCTTTCAAGGCTCAGGTTTTTGCCTGCTCTGCTTGGCCAAGGGCATGGGCATCAGAGGAGAACCTCAGTTCACATCACTCTGGAGGCACTCTCTGCTTTACTGGTTGGCTGGGTGGCACCGTGGGTGGAGGCCCGGACTTGGGTCTAAGGCCAGGCCCTCCTACTGTCTTGCTGTGTGACCTTGGGCAACAAAGTCCCGCTCTGGGCCTCAGTGTTCTCATCTGCTAACATGAGGGGGTTGCACCAAACCAGTCCCCTTCAGCTCTAACATTTTGAGGAACTGCGAAATGCGATTTGATCAGAGCAAATCCCCCACCCACCGACCTCAAGCTTCTGACCCTTAGCACTTTGAATCCATTACTGAGGGATGGTGCCCTCTGGTGGCACCAGCTGCGTCGCACAGCCTACCAAAACCCTGGGCGGAAAGCGGGGGAAGATGGGTACTTACACAGGAGGTCTACTAGACAATCAACTCCCGCTTACAGAGGGCCTTAAGTGCAAAGGGTGCAAGTGCTAATCTAGATCTTTCCACATCATCTGCCTTTGAATCTTAGGGCTGGAAGGGGCCTTGAGGAGCCAGGCTAGTCCATTCCTGCTGCCTCCTGGAGAAGTGTACCCCAACCAACCCAGCCAGGCGGTGTTATACCAGGGATCGGCAGCCTCTTCGGCCCTGTGTACCACCAGTGGGGTGAAACAAAGCCCGCGGGGACCACTGGCAGGCCTAAGACATAGGTAGGAGAAAGGAGGAGGGCACGGGAGGGCAGGAGAGACAGGGAAGAGGGAGAGAGAGGAGAGAGAGAGAGAGAGAGAGAAAAGCAAGAGGTATTGTATACGGTGGGGAAGCCGCCGCGACTGCTAGGGGCCACTTGCCGACCACCTCTCAGAAGCTCCAACCTCCCTCTGCCACCACATCTGCCCTGGCTGCCTCTGGATCTCCTCGAGGACCGTCCCCACCATGCGCCTGGCCCTAGGCCAGGCAGTGCAGCCACACAGACGAGGGGCCCAGCGCCCCGGCCACAGCACTTCCCGTGATGGTCCAAGAGCTACCACGGTGGCCAGTCCACCCTCGCCAACCCCATCGGGGGGCAGGCCTGATCATCCCTAAGAAGCACTGTTCTAATGACGGCCTTTGGAGTCATCCAGGAAAGGATTCATCAAGTACCATCCATGTGGAATTGACTGATTTGCTTCAAATTCTATTTGAAAATCCATTCTGTCGATAAGAGGGGGAACTCTTTGCCCACCTACTCCTCCTGAACAGAGCATTTAACTCATCAGATCAGCCAACATCCCAGCTGTGCTAGATGCCCCTGTCTACTGTGCTCGGCAGGCCCTCACAGAGCCCTGGGGCGGGAGTCAGGAGACCTGGGTTCTTGTCCCACCTCCACCTGTGACTCGCCTTGTGACTTAGACAAGTCACTTCCCCTCTCTGGACCTCAGTTTCCCTATCTGTAAAACAAGGAGGGCACTGGGACTAGCTTGTCTCTAAGGGCTCTTCCAGCTCTGACTATTAGGAGTCTACTCAATGCATCTGTGCCACCTCACAGGATTTGTTTGGGGGGGGGGTGTTAACTCGGGGCCACACTCCCATCTCAGACCACCTATATAAACCCTCCTTCCACTCCTCTTCTCTCCCTCTCTCTCCCTCTCTGCCTGTTTGGCCCTTCCCCTCATCCTCCTTTCCAGTTTCCCTTCTGCCTTGTCTTGTGTCTCCCTCACTCAAGTCTTGGGACTTACAGAAACACCCGAAAGCCCTGCTTAGCCCCTCCAGGATATTCTAGGCTGGAAAGGCCTGTGGTCCTGGACATTACACAAAAGTGTTTGTAGAAGCTTCCTTGGGATTTCCAAGACCAGCAAGATTAGTGCACACTGGCCCACAGGCTGTGAAGCCAAGGGAAGTTACGGTGCTGAGAAGCCATCCTGCCCCTTCCCTCCCCGCCGTCCCCTGCCCAGACACAGACACACACACATGGGTTGGGGGGGTGCTGGGCCTCAGACGGCTCATCTCAGATGGTTCAGATTCACGACTGCAGAGCTGAGACAGGCTGAAAGGTCATGTCAAGGGGGAGTTCCTGTAAGACCCCTGAAAGTTCAATGGACCCTTACGCTTTTTTCCAATACCTCAAAAAGCCTACCAGGAATTGCTTATCTTTAAATAAGTGGCAAGGATTCAACCAAGATGCCCAGATTCTTTACTTTTTTTTTGCTAATTTACTGACTACTTTGGATAAATCACAGGTGACCTCTTGTTCTGAAGCTTTGGTTAGCAACCCTGGATATCTCTGATTACTAGACTTTCTCTAAGGGGTCATGGGCTTTTGGTACTTGTGCATTTGAGGGGATAATAATAATGTTTTGTCAGTAACATGATCTCCTTCAAAATTTTCACTTAATGGAGAAGATAATCAGAGTACAGAGAGATCAAGGTGCTTGCCCAAGATCACACAGCATGTCAGAGGCAGAACTCGTGAATTCCCAAGCTAGGATGTCACTGCAGGGTGAGGGGGCCAGGGTTCACTGAAGAGGGACAGGATAGATGCATATAGATTCTACTTTAAATTCCTCCTATACTTTGGAACCTATACTTCACGGGGCTAGGAGATAGCCAGTCCTGGTATGACCCCCATTTGTCAGATTAGACAACTGAGGCACAAAGAGACTGTGTAACGTGCCCAAGGTGACACGGGTTTCTAGGACTAGAATCCAGGTCTCCTGAATCTTAAGCTGGTAGTCCTCCCTCCTGTATTAAAACAAGATGGCAGAGTAAGACTAGTGCAGCTGCTGGACCCTGCCCCTCCTGCCTGAGGCCCCCCAGCCCGAGCTACCATGGCCTGGCTGGCCTCGGAGCCACTTACCTGTGTGCTGGAGGGCCCCACAGCACGCCGGGGCACCTTGATGTCAAATCCCCCCTTGGGATCCTTCTCCCCTCTCAAGCACGGGTCATTGGGGGGCTCTCGGCCCCCCTCCCAGTCACAGATGGTTTTTCGAATTGCCTGCAGGACACTGGGAAGGAAGAATGGATACTCAGACCTGGTTTTAGCATTGGAAGGAGGCCCTGCAAGCCTGTTTCTAGAGTCTGTGATGGCCCAGAACTCCCTGTCTTAGAATTCCTGGGGGTTGGGGAAGCGTGCTCATTCCTGGCCCCACCCACACCCCAAGAGGTGTTGGCTTCCCAGGCTTGAGCCACGGTCCAGAAGTCTGCTCTTCAATAAGCACCACAGGGGACTCTGATGCCCACTGGCTATTTTTCTTTCTCATTCCAGGGGAGCTTCATTAGTCCAATTACATCTCTGTATGTTTGAAGTTTTAATAGTAGCTTATATTTGTTGCATACTTACTCTGTGCTGCTGTGTGCTCAGGTCTACACACTGATTATATCACTTTATCATCCCAACAACCAGTGTATTCCACATTTTACAAATGAGGAAAACTGAGATTCAGAGAAAGTACGTTATTTGACCAGGTACACATAGCTAGTGGTGGATACAGGCTTCAAACCCAGAGACTGAGGCTTGATTCATTTCAAATGTCCAGTCTCCTAAGAAGATGTCCTAGAACTTGTGGGAACATGCTAAAAAGGTCAGTGTGTGTGCAGAGGCGGTGCTGGAAGCTGACTGAGCCAGGAACTTCCCCTGTGGTCTGCACATAGCACCTCTGATTTTTTTACGTGACCCCTGGAAAGGGCCATCTGAAGACCCACCTGATAAGGACGTTCTTCTTCTTCCGCACGGCCTGCCTCAGGGGCTCACGCAGCGTCACCTGGGCGAAGTCCTGCAGGGCCGCGTAGATGGTGTTCCTGATGGCCTGGTTGAAGACGCTCTCCATCCTGCCCATGAGGACCTGGAGGCCTTTGATCATGGCGATCACCTGGCCAGGCACAGATCAAGGTCAGGCTCACTGTGCCTCAGCTTACCCATCCGTCCAGCACCCTTCACCACACTGCAGAGAGGGTGCTGCCTGAGATGTCCAGAAGCCAGAGGCCAGCGCTACTCAAAGTGCCCAGTTCACAGCAAGGTAAGAAACGTGTGCCCAGATGGAAATGAGTGCACTGCTTCCTTCATCAAGGAAAGTCCAGCTACAGGCACAGATGTTAGCTAAATGGCACAGTGTGCTTCTCGGCGCAGCTCACTTTCACTCTGGCTCCAGCTCCCTAGCTTAGTGCTGACTGCCAACAAAGAGCAGCCAGTTCACGGACCACACTTTGTGGACCACTCTGACTTCCAGAGGTCTCTCCACACACCATGAATCCACAGACCGTATCAAATAGAACTTTGTTCAACCATAACACTTTCTATAGAGTTCTGATGATCTTTGCTTTTGAAATAATTCGGTCATTTGCTGTTTGAGTCCATAGAGCTTCCTCCTATGACATAAAATCTCTGTGGAAGTCTCAGGTAAGGGAAAACCTCTGTCCTTCTGTTTGCCTCCTCCCTCCCTCCTCTTCCCCTACTCATCTGGCTGCAGAGACGGGGAGACAGGTATTTGTGATGAGTATATCCTGGCCTGCCTTGGAGTGTGCGCCTTCTCTTCTGGGTTCCTCTCTTCTCCGTGCAATCACCTTTCCCTCCCCATCCCAAGGAAGAGAGGCATGTGTTTCTGCAGTTGCTTTGTCGGTTTCCCAGTAGGTGAGTTTACTGGGGCGAAGGAGGAATAAGAAGTCTTGGGTGGCCTTGGGTGGAAGTCCCATCCCTAGTCTAGCTTCACCAGCAACATGCCTGATCCTTTGGCCCCTGTCAGCCACAAGTGCTAATATCTAGAGTGATTCAGAATTCAGAGGGGACAGCGCAAGCCGTATCAGCCTCCCGACATGATGTGTCAGGTCTGATGACATGACCACATGTCATCATGATGTGTTGGGCTTCCACGCTCTGCACCGGGCTATAAGTGCTGCACGGGCAAGGCCCAGCAATGCTGTGCACGCCCTATGCCCACTGCCCGGGCCTGTAGTGAGCCGTCAGAACATTTTTGTTGAAAAGGAACAGATAAAGCAATGAATGAGTTTACATGCTAAGATTTTTTTCTTCCTCTAAACCTTAAAGGAATAAACAGAACATCTGAGGTTAGAGGAAATGGTGAGAACAAAGTTCAGGCAGTGAGGATTTTCATTAGAACCAACAAGTATAGTGGTTTCGCCAGAGAAAAGCTTTAGTGTAGAGAAACAATGGGACAGAAGCCTTAAGGGAACATTACATCACAAAAGCATCTGGGCTCCTGGCTAGAGACATAACTAGGAAATAATGAGACAAAGGAAGAGATGATGGAGATGTTTCAGAATGATTCCAAACACAGCAGAGTGTGCGGATGTTACACCTAAGGGAAAATCTTTGCAATTCTGGGCTAGGCAGAGATTTCTTAGCTAGAACACAAAAATCACAAACCGTAAAATAATTGATAAGTTGGACTTTATCAAAATTAAAAATAGTTGTTCTTCCGAAGGTACCCCTAAGAAAATGAAAAGGCAAAGTCACCAATTAGAAAAAGTATTTACAACATATATATGACTAGGGACTTGTATCTACAACATATAAAGAATTCTCACAATTCATGTGCAGGACTGTTGAGTCTCAGATCTGTACCTCTGAGACAAATAATGCAAGATATGTTAAGAAAAAAAAAGAAGAAGAAGAAGGTAGCGGGAGGGG